ATAGTTTCCTTTAGTTATTTAAACACATTTACAATAGCCAATTTAAAGCCTTTGTCTAGTAAGTTCAGCATCTGGGCCCCTTATGGACAGTTTCTATTGACTACATGTTTTCCTGTGTATGTATATACCTTCCTGGTTTTTTTGTGTTATGTAATTTTTGTTGAAATTAGACATTTTAAATATTATAATGTGGCAATTCTTGAAATCAGTTCTGCCCCTCCTCCAACATTTCTTGTTGATTTCTGTTATTCTTGCTATTTATTTACTGACATTCTGGATTAATTTTATAAAGTCTCTATTACTTGTAGTATGATTGGTCAGCAATCTTCTTAATTGCTTTGAACCAATAACTCTTCCTCCCATTGTTGCAGGCTCTGTGTGAGTTAGAGGGCATGTCTGCAATGCTCAGGCCATTGACAACTCTGCTCTAGCCTTCTTCACTGCTTGCTTGTGCAGAGCCTCAAGGTCAGCCAACGGTAAAAACTGGGATCCTCTCAAATATTTCCTGGGCATGCACTGGCCTCCCATATCCCCAGGAAGATGTCAGAGATTTTCAAAGCCTCACATGGACATCTTGTTCTCCAGATTATTTTTAAGGTTTTTTGTTTTTATTGTTGTTGTTTGTTTTTTTTTCTTGCCAGGTTCTTATTTGCTCCAGTTGATACTGTTGACCTGGGCATCTGTGGAGCTAAAAAAACCCCTCCAATGATTGTTCTGACTAAAAGCCTGGGAATAGAGCTTCTCTTACAAGCAAGGACAAATATTAACAACGATATCCTAAGAATGGAACTTTCCAGGTTGAGACAGGTTGAAATAGTGACAATGCTCTGTGTGTGGGACATTGTGAGGCACTGCAAACCTGATCTGCACCCCCTGCCTCCCCACCGAGTGCCTGCAAATCTGGGGTTTTCACTGCTACAGTTTTGAGAGGTTGCCAGTTTTCAAGGCTACCCTGAAGCTGGGGGCAATGGCTGGTGGTAGTTAAAGCTACTACCTCATAAACCCTGCTGTTCTTACTGAGGTTCAGTGTTTTTTTCTGGAATAAACACTCCTCAGATTGTTATAAGCCTTTGACTAATGTATGAGTTCTAAAAAAGTTGATTTTAATAATTTTTTCTCAGTGTTTTCATAAAGGGGTAGATTCATGAAGATGTTCCCTCTGCCACTCTGATGTCTGCCCCATTCCCAAATGTTTTATAAGAAATTAAATGATTAAGGTTTCAACAGGAACTCTGGACATTCTAAATATCCTTCTCTATTAAGCTGTGATAATTTCAAGAAAAAGAATGTCTTTATCCCTTGCTCTTGAAACAGCAGGTAGAGGGAATTTTTTTCCCTCTCTAGGCCTCCCCCTCTCAGTGTAGCAGCAGTAAGAGAGAACTTCCCCCACATTCAAGGAAGACCAAGAAGGATGCCAAATGTGGCAACTGCTTACATGTAAAGAAATGCTTAGTAGTAATACTGTCATATTCCTGAGACTTCTGACAGATCTATGAAACGGCTAGAGAAAATAAAGTTTATAGAAACTCATAAAATGAATCTAATTTCTGAGAACCTATCATGTATTAGATACTGTGCTAGTCCTGAATAAGATGGACATCGTCCCTGCCGCCTTAGAGTACATAATTTCAGAGAACTAGGAGGCTATTAGAATGCAGTATGCTAACTGCTTAAAAAGGATATATAAGGTGCTTCTGGGTACATGCTAGGAGGGACACCTAACTTATATTCCTAGAAGTAGTGACAACTTGGCTAATGTCTGGAAGGATCAATAGGAATTGGCTGTGAAGGGTATAGAAGAGAAGGAAAAGGGGAAGAGGTAAGGAAAGAAAAAAGGACTGTTGTATGGAAAGGTCTGGTGGCCGGAGGAATTCTGGCTGGAATGAAGACAGTAAAGGGCAATGGTGAGCAAGGACAGACTAATAAGCCAAGTATTTTGGGTGAAGCTGAATCACTGACTGCTATGGTCTGAATGTGTGTGTGTCCCCAAAATTCATATGTTGAAATCTAATCACCAATGTGATGATATTAGGAAGTGAGGCCTTTAGGAGGTGATTTAGATAATTCACGTAAATAGGCCCTTATTCAAAGAGGCTGCAGAGAGCTGCCTTCCCTCTTCCAACATGTGAAGACACCATCTATGAATCATCTATGAACCAGGAAGCAGCCTTTACCAGACACTCAATCTGCTGGTACCTTGGTCTTGGACTTCACAGCTTCCAGAACTGTGAGAAATAAACTTCTCTTGTTTATAAGCCACTGAGTTTGTGGCATTTTGTTACAGCAGCCCAAAAGGACTAAGAAACTGACCAAAACTGTAAAGTTAGAAAGGAGTATTAACCAAGAGATTACATGGTAAATTAATTTTCAAACTGAATGTTAATGTTTCTGTATAGCTGAAGGTAGACTAGAAAGAGTGAGAAGTCTATTTGGGGAACACAGCTTTGGTAGAAGTTTTCACGACAGCTGAAACAGTGGAAAAGGTTTCTTGGAAAAGGAAGGACAAGAAAAGGAGAACAGAGATTTGGGGACAAGTCAGGTCCACAGGCAGCAAAAATCTAGAATACCGTAGGCTGCCTTCTCAACCTCCATCATGCCTCTGCCTTCCTAAAGGAAATGACATTGTTTGGGCATCCACCTTCCCCCAGATAAGCCACTTGATTTAGAGGAAACTGACCCTTTCCTAGCTTCAGGGGTTGATCTATTTTGAAGATAATCTCATAGCCCCTTGCCAGTGATCACCCAGAGTGGAAATGTGATTTAACTCTGCCCAGTCAGACTGAAGGGAAAGATTATGCTCCCTGGTTGATGGAGAGGTGCCCTCCCTTTCTCTTCCTGGGCGTCTGCTGCCCCAGCCTCTTGCCAGCTACTTGGTATCTCAGACTCCCTCGTGACTGTGGATGCCTGTGTGACATGGTTCTCACCAACAGAAGAAGGTCTGCCAGGAGGTTTCCATAAGGCCACATAGGGCTGGTGAGGTGGCTCAACAATGTCACGGAGCCCCAAACTCTTTCCCTCTTCAAACTAGCTGCTGCCAACCATCATTTTGCAGTAGCCAGCACAGGGGCAAGGCTGACCAGAAACAAAGTGTACAGACAAGAAAATTTTCCCCTGATTATACTACCCCTGAAGTCAGCCCCACTGCTAGGATTCTAGTTATTTGAGTTAATACAATTCCTTGTTGTTTAAGCTGAGTTTGAATTGTATTTCTGTTACTTGAACTTGAAACCACACTAAAAGCTACAGTAGGGAAATGAACTCACAAAGAGACCAAGAAAAAAAGATTCATAGAGGTGAATCAGAAGAGATGAGTGTGATCCGATCTGAGGGAAGATGAAATTTTACCAAAAAAAAAAAAAAAAAAAAATCACTGATGGTGCTAAGCATAGTAATTTATCAAGGGAGATGTTGTTCCTATATTATTTCTGTTTGGGTAAGGAACGTCTTTAAGTCAATCTGCATTCATTGTTACCATGCTATGGTTTCCTGATCTATAAAATAGTCAAAGGCTAATTGACGGAGGCCTACTTTACAAATGGACTGTGATTATTAAGTGTGCTTTCACAATAAAATACAGAGTAAACATGGTCCAGTCAGACCTATTTGATCTAAGTACATTAAACCACATTGGAATCTCTCTTTTCCCCAAGTAGACCAAATCAATTAGTGAAATCTTGTATGTCTTACAGATACATTTTATTCTAGATGTTCTATAAGAGAGAAATTATGAAAAATTTTAAACATATTCCTAAAGGTAGAAAGAAAAGTATAATAAATCTCCATATATCCATCACTCAGATTCTAGAATTATCAGTATTTCATCATTCTTTCTCTTCCTTCGCTGCCTCCTGAACATGTAAAATCAATTGTTTTAAAATCAGAATACATTTTCTTATATTAACCATGTGTAAATGACAGTTAGATTCTGAGGCCAAAACACTAAAGCTCATCCAACCCATAAGATAACATGAAATTTTTACGTGTTGGGTAGAAAACAGTATTATTAAAACTGTAAGTTAATTAACTATGAGTTTCATTTTATTAATATGTCTAATAAGAAGGGGATTTACCTGAGCAAAAGTAAGCTCTCTGACCAGCCCCTATCAAAATCATAAAGTAGACAGTCTTAAAAAGTTCATATTTAATCTATCAGCATAAAAGCTTCTAATTTTTTTTATAGCTATTAAGTTGTTAGACTCATTTAGTTTCTCTATCCTGTATGTCTACCACACGTTTTCTAAAAATATTTATAACTGCTTTCTCTTTCCCAGCTTCAGGATCAGTGGTCCTCAAAATGTGGTCCAAGGTCACACAAGGGTTTCCTACACCCTTGGAGGGGGTCTGCACAATCAAAACTACTTTCTTAGTAATACAAACATGTTGTTTGCTCTTTTCATGCTCATTCTTTCATGACTGAGAGTTTACCAGAAGCTATGTGATGTACACATTACAGCTCTAGTGGGTATATGTGGAAACAGATACAAGAATCCTTTTGTCGTCTATTAATCCAGACTTTAAAAAAGGTTTGTAAAAATATAAAGCAATTCCTATCTTCTCACTACATTTTTTGTTTTGAAAATATAATTATTTTTTTAAAAGTTACACATATTAACATGTAATGGGGTTGTTATTGTTACTTAAAGAATTCATAAATATGTATCAACCTTTCTTTCAGTTTTAATGTGTAATGATTGTATTGATCAATATAAGTCACATCGATAAAAATTCCTTGGGGTGCTCAATAATTTTTTAAGAGTATAAAATGGTCCTAAGGCCAAAACACTTGAGACCTGCTATTTTTGATAAATTTCCTTCTTCATTATCTAAACAAAACTTTTGGATAAAAGGGATAAACAGATTGTTTTTCCAATATTTTTGCAAATGTCATTGGAAATATAATCTGTCCCCTCCCTGACATTCCTTTCTATGATAAACATTCTCTGATTTTGAGTAGGGAACAGACAAAGATTCGGTGAGCATGATGTCTAAGTAATACTCACCTTTACTAAATCTGTGTAGCCGGTTTCTCTTGGGGTCCACCAGGGTTGAGCTTTTAGTCCATTCACGTTGTAGAGCGAGCGCTGCCAGACAGACGCAAAATGTCCTCTCTTGTGCCCAAGCTCATACCACTTATATGCCTGGAAGAACAGGAAGAATGTGCTCCAAACTGTTCTCTCAATGAAGTATTTTTATTAATCTTAAAATTAAAGACATTAGAAATAAGGTATTACTTTGAGACATTTAAATAAGGACTTGCTAGTAGGTACTTAAATCTGAAAATCTGTTGAAATCAGGTGAAAATATTCTTTCATTGGGTTTTTGATTATGACTTATTCGTATAAATGAACGTGTACATTTTATTTCCACTCTTAGGCTGTCAGCTCCCTCAATAGTGGCTCTGTGCCTGCACATTCAGGTGTCCCCCAGAGCGACCAGCATGGAGTCTAGGACTTATTTATTGAATAGTTAAATAAGACACCAAAGGGGACTATCTTTATATTTTAGCTTTCATTTCTATTTTATGTTTCCTTTAAAAGGAAAGGATTATGATTTTAATAATTTCTTCAAAGACATCTGCATTTGCCAGACTGGAATGCTAAAGTGGAGACCCATTTCTTTTCCCCTGCACTTTCTCTCCCTGTCCACATTTAAGGCGGCTACCTTGAGGTGACAAGAGTGCAAATCCTCCATTAAATTAAGTAGACAGAAGGGAAACATTATTCTGAGTTGGCAATAAATATAGTGATAGCCCACATTAGATTTTTTAAAAGGGAATTTTTGTTCATATTTTTTTCCTGCCATAAGTGATAACATTTGTGGCTTTAGGCTAGCGGTAACATGACACAACTTGCCTCCAAGGCTAGCCTTTTCAGGGACAGCTGGCTGCAGAGCATGCTGCTCCAGATGGCTCCTTCAAATGACGTCCTAACCATATGCTCCCAAGTGTGCCTGCCCACATGCCTCCTGAAACGTGCGTGTGCCATTGTCTTTGGAATGGGTGGTGACACTAATGGCACGCTTAATATTATTCTCTCTGTTATTACATGTCTGATTTAATGATTACTTTTGAAGAGTGATTTCAAATACATTTTTGATTAACAAAAATAAAAAATGTTAACTTTTCAAAGTCTCTTAAAATTCATTGTTTCAAATTTTTCTTCAGTAGAAAAATAAAGGGTAATAGCAATACCATCTCATATTTGCAATAGCACTTTACATTTACTACTTGCTTTTTCAAGTGTAATTTCATTTGATCTTTGCGATTACCCCAAGTATCTCCATTTTACAATGTTGAAACTGACATAAATAAAGGCTAAATCTCTTGAAACTAGAATCCAGGGCTCCTGGCAACTTGTTCTACTCTCCTATCTTTGTATCATTTAACAAAAACTACCAAAAATAATTTTCTTATTTAATTATCTTCCTAATATCTCAAATTAAGAATGTATATACATATTTACTTTCCTTAAAACACATGTCAGTTGTAGCCAGAAATTCTTTAAAAATCAAAAAGTTAAAATGGCTAATTATTGTCTATTTTTTTTTTAGATAGCATTTACCTTTGAAATTAATTCAACCTTTGCAGTTATTTTTGTCCAATTTAAATTTAGGATTTTATTTCCTGTACTTTTCAGTGTAAAAGTAAGCAACAATATTAATTACAACTGATTATTTTTTTAAAATCTGATAGCCCATTAATTTTCAAGTCACCAGCAATTCATTTTAAAGACTAGGCGGATTGTTAGAATAGTGAGAAAAAAGTTATCATAGGAAAATCAAAAAGCAAATATTACAGCTCTAGTCACTCAATATGCTGGTCTGGTGGTCAGAGTAAATCGCGTCACTTACAATGGCAATGTTTACGCTGTCTATAAGGTCTTTTCTGACATCCAAGTGTACTACTGCATCAAATAGAACCCTTAATTTTGCACTCTCCTGCCATGTGACTTTCGGGAGAAACAAAATTGCAAAAATGATATATCAGAAATCAAAACTCACCTTCAATGATATATGACATAGGAGACCCAGTGAATTCAGCTAGATTGCTTTTTTGTAAACATTTAAACTACTTTACAATACAAACCGCTAGAAAATCAACAATCAAGTTTAGAATCTTCTGAAAACTTCCTCTTTCCTATTTCTTGTCTTATCAGGAATTTTATATGTCTAATCAGGAATACTAAAACAGACAGTAAGAACACTTGGGCCACCTTCTTAAATGTGTTTTATACTAATGTCATCTCCCCTTTCTTAAAATGATTGCTATGTATGGTTTTCTCTCTCAAACACACACACATAGAAATAGCATGTTGAAGGATTCCAACCCAGAAAAGCCAGGGCCACATCTGTGAGTGGGCCTGTCCTAAGGGGCGCTGTTTGCAGCTTGCTGTCTAGGGGGGCCCCGGAGACACTTCAGATTAGGACAGTGGCTGCAAGCTGCCTATGGAGGACTGTCAATGCTAGCACATACAAATATGGCTTTATTTTATTTTGCACTGCAGGTTTTTTGGGGATAGGGTGTCCTGAAAGAGAGACTGAAGCAAGAAACAACAGCCAGGTTCTCACAAGTAACAAAGACTGGAATCGACATGGACTAAGCACGAGGGAGGACGGGGTGGAGGCTGAATCCCCAGAGCTGGCCTTGAGTAGGCTGGAGTAGAGCGGGACAGGGAGGAGCTAAAGCTCACTCAAGTCTTGATCCTGGGACGTTGGCAACGTCATTGGATGAGAGGAGGAACTCGGGAGGAGAACGGTTTAGAGGAAGACAAGTAAGTTTTCTCTATGACATCCGTGTGGTGACACCAAGCAGGCTGTAGACATGTGAATTCGGACTGGGAGAAGGGGACAAGATCTAGCTAGAATGTGGATTTGGAAGTTATGTAAATACCAGCAACAGTGGAAGCCGAATCGCTGCAAGACTATCACGGTTTGTCTTCCATACTAAGTGAATCCATTAGAAAATTTTGCTCAAAACCCATTTTATCGTCAGCCTCTGCAACAAGAGGCTGTGTGTTTGCTTGTCACGGGTCCATCCTCTTTCAGAGTTGGAGCAGTGCTCTGTGCATAAACACATGGGGTGGCTGCTTCCCCATATGCAAACTCAGGAGTGTGACAGCCAATTCAACACCTAATATACAGAATATATAAAAATGGGGTTTCTATAGATTTTGTTTCTGTTCTCCTGTAAGAATGAATCCTTGTGAACTTTTAAAATTCAAGAACTGTGCTGTTCTTGGCATATTAATGATAATTAAAATGGCAGTACAGTTCCATAGGTTCAAATCACAAAACCTTAACAAAGTGTTTAGTAGTGAATTCTTTGCCCTTGAAGATGTGAGATAAATCACAGACTTCTTTTATCTGTCTTCCCCCTGGACCCTGAAATGTTCAAAAATAAATTAACTGGTGACAATTATATTTAGAGTAGTCAGACATGAGCATTTAGCTGATGTTAGACACTGTGGAAAAATCTTTCTTATCCCTCTCATCCAAAGGAGGTACCACCAGCCTCTGTATCTAAGAGAATGAAGGGACACAAAACGATTACTAATCAGCACTTTCTTCTCCCTTCTTTCTCTCCACTTCTAATGGCTCATTCTATTTTAGCTGACTGATTGGTAGGTCAGAGGGGGAAAGGTACAGGTAAGTAGAAATGTATAAAGAAAACAGTGTCAATTATCCAAACCTCTATTACCCCAAATTGGTGCATGTCTCTAGCAGGTGATTCCTGTCACAAACTCTGAACTCTCCGTTGTCCAGATAGTCCCATGTTCTTGAAACTTGAAGCTGTGCTATCGTTAGGTGTCACTTTATTACAACTACGGAATGCAATGGTTACAAAGATTCAGGGTCTCACTTCACCCTTTTATCCAATGACTCTAAGGACAGCCCAGCCTGGCACCCCTGCAATGGAGCAGGATGGGAAAGAGGGACTTCGTCATTCAGCAGCACCACGTAAACCATGATGGATTTGTGGAAGAGTTTTGAAATTTACAGTACGTGAGGTCATGATTAACGATCCAATGTTATGTTTACAGAAGCTGAGGTTGTGCTCTGAAAAAGGTAATCATCACATAGAAAACATGTGACTTGTTTTAGCTACTATATTTTTGTGTCGTACTTATCATTCCTACAGCCACAAGTGTTCATCTTAAACTTGGCATTAAATATTTCAGAGGGTAATAAGTTACATAACTATTAGGATCAGTTGAATAAAGACTTCATTCTAAAAATAACTACTTTTAAAATTCCAAAATAAAACAAAAATGAATCTAGGGAAGCTGTTAAAGTGTTTTAAAAAATTTTAAATAATTTCAGAGACATCTCTGCATTTCATAATTTAAAAAATACTTTCCCAAGACAATGTCTATCTTTCTATACACATACGGCTCATATCAATTTAGAGACTACCCTTGTGATTATGTAGCTGATTTCTTAAAAGAAACTATTAATATAAAAGCCAAATCCTAAGAATTCTTTTTTTTTTTTGAGACAGGGTTTCACTCTGTCCCCAGGGTGGAGTGCAGTGGTGTGATCATAGCTCACTGCAGCCTCAAATTCCTGTGCTCATGGGATCCTCCTGCCTTAGCCTCCCAAGCTAGGACTACAGGCGTGCACCACCATGCCTGGCTAATTTTTTAAATTTTTTGTAGAGATGTGGTCTTGTTATGTTGCCCAGGCTGGTCTAGAACTCCTGGCCTCAAATGATCCTCCTGCCTCAACCTCTTAAAATGCTGGGATTACAAGCATGAGCCACCACCTCCAGCCCCAAGAATTCTTTATATGATTAAGTTGGAGTTGTTGGGTTGTTTCAAACATAGTTTAAAGAGCTAAATAGTTTCAATCACTGCCTTCAAAAGTGTATACTCAAGATATTATTTCAATTGTAACTTTCTCTTAGAAATACTTATTCCCCCAACTCTATCCTCTGTTGGAAAGAACAAGAAGTTCACAAACCCATTACCTCTTTGTTCCCAACCCTCTGCATGGCATCTCCCAGGTGGAAATAAAATCTCCCATCATCGGTTCCAGGAGCCCCAGATTCTATTCCTTCCTGTAGAAAGGACACTGTTAGTATTTGTGAAAGAATGAAATACCAGTTTTCATTTATTGATTTACATAGACTTTCCTATAATGTACATAGGAAAATCCAGGAACCAGAAAAATACATCTCAATATTAAAATTTAGCAATGAGGTTACTGGTCAACATTTGCAATGCAAAAGCAAAAGGAGGTCAGAAAGCTAAATATAACAATACGTCCATCATTAATCATTAGTGGGACAGCCTGTAAAATTAGTATGCTACTTCATGCATCTTCTGTGTGGGAACAATCATATCTCAATAATCCAAAGAATTTTTCTGGCCAGATGCTCTCACATGTATTTTGTTCTCCAAATCTGACCACATTTCATCTAGTGGCTTTTTATTCCTGAACCAAAACGTTGACCTGCTCCTGTGTGAAGTGACGGCAGCCCAACTGCGAGTCCTATTTCTTTGCACTCAAAACAAATGTGTCCTTACCTTTCAATGAAATTTTTAATAAAACATACAGAGGAATTAAAGCCAATTTGAATCTTTAAAAATGTCATTTTTATTAAACAACTTCTTATTCTAAAACATTTAGCCGATTTCCCCATCTCCCACACAAGGACTAAAATTGAGATTTATGTCAATTAAAAAAAAAAGAAAGAAAGAAAATATTAAAGCAAGAGAATGAATTTAGAAAAGCAAAAGAAGCAAAGTAAAAAATAATTAAATGTCAAGCACTTCTTTCTAAAAATCTGCATCGTTGAGGCCTCTTCACAAGAAGTATATTATATTTCACTAGGAAGGAACTGTATTTACATGTTGGAAAGTACCAAGTCCCACGAGGGAAGGGGAGAAGCATCACCCAGGCCAGGAAACTGTTACCAGGGCTCTTCACTGACCAACATGCAAATGTCCTTGCCTGCTAACTAACCAACCCAGCAGTCGTTCTCCCCATCTCTGAAGTAGGGAGATACTATTATGCCCCTCCAGTGTCAAAGGAAATGCAAGGGGACACTTTACATCAGAGAACCCATGTCCCCAGAGGGCCCTGGCCGGGACTGTGAAGGTCTGCAGAGGCCCAGCGACAGCTGGGCAGACTAGGGGTGGTCGCACCGCAAGGGGGAGCCACTGCTCGGCTCCAGGCGTGGCGAAGTGGGCCAGTGTGGCCTTTCAAGAAAAACTAGAAATCTGTGTGATTATATAAAATATTCGGATTCTCAAATAAGGCAAGCGATTAAAGTTATTTTTCGTAGAGCCGTGCTGGCCAAATATGACACACAAGCTATCTGCAATCAGTGGGTGGTTATTTGGGATCTCTGATTTAAGTCATGTGAAAGAAAGAGATCATAAAAATGAAATATACTGCTACTTTAAAAGTAAATTCACAGCTAGCCAGCTACCTGTCCAATATGGTCGCTGCTAGGCACATGCTATTATTTAAATTAAAATTAAACGAAATGAAAAACTGACTTCCTCAGTTGCAGCGGCCACATTTCAGGTGCTCGATGGCCACTGTATGGGAGAATACAGATGAAGAACATCCGCATCACGGCAGAAAGTTCTACTGGACAGCCCTGGGCTAGATCACTTGTGATTCTGGTGAACTGATGAGGATTCAATTAGATATAAGAAAAAAACAGCAGCATATTTTAATCTAAATATTTTGAGCTATCAGATAGGCTTTTGGAGTTTGACCTGTTAATACGTAGTCTGCATTCGTTATCTTACCTTGTGTAGGTAGCCAAGAGTCCTGTTCAGAGTAGACTCAGTATGTAATTAACTTGTAGAAGGAACCTTTAATGCACTGTCTATATTTTAAATTATTGTAGCAATAATTTTTGTCCACCTTTGTCATTTAAAAAATAATCACAACTCCAGTTTTAGGAATTTTTTCATAAAATATTTTCCAAATAGTCTCTGCACACATGGTTGGTATTTCGACATCTGGCACTGTCAGTCATGGTGGAAGGCCACACTGCTGTGGATTTTGTCGTCAGAGATGTGCATCCTGACAACGCAAGACTCGGCAGTGCACTCCAGGCTTCCAGGCACAGCCAAGGCTGTCCTGATGACTCGAAGGAATCGGAAGACGAAAGCGGAGGAGGGGCAGTGACAGTTACCTTTAAATAGGGAATGCTCTCTGCAATCTTGTTCTGTGCCTTCAGGATGAAGCCGTAATGGACTTTAGCAAAGCCATCATCAGGTGTCACACTAAGAACCTAAACTCCAAGAAAACAAAGAGCCAGTGTGATTGACTACAAATTTTTACAAACGGCTGTCGAAACAAATTTTAATTAGCTTTGCTGTACTTGGGTTGGATTATGATATTACAGCTTAAAACATGATAGCACTTTAGTCTCATGGCAATATCATTAAACCTAAATGGCCCCATTTCCCCTCGACTCAGTTCGCTTTTCACATTTACACAATGGTTCTTCAAGAATGAAGAAATGAATGAAAAGGCAATAACCATTAAAGCATTGCTTTAACAATGCAAATCAGCAAAATATCTGTCAATTGATATAACTCCAGTATTTTCTTAGCGATCGGGGGAAATTGCTTTACATTTGCTACACTCGAAGACAACTCTGAATGGTTATTAGACATTACTTTATACACATGCTTTATACATTGCCTTAATTAAAAGAAAATTTAGATTTGCATTTGTAACATATCACAATCCATTCATTCAACAAAAGCTGCGTGAGTGCCCAGACTGTTTTAAGCACTGAGGATAAAGTGGTGAGCAAGTCTAACACTCTGTGACAAAGCCCAGGTAAATATTCCATATAAACCACATCATCATTTATTATCATGTGCATTTACTAGGATTTAAAGATAATTATGCAAGATGCCTCTAAATTAAATATTAGCAATGAGAAATCAAAACAACATCATTCAACTTGTGAAGCTGCTTAGACAAACTAATTTATAGAACCAAAGACAAAGAAAGAAGGTTTGAGTTGGGTGCGTATAGAGAAAAGATGTGTCTCCCATCTCTTCTCTTCATCCTTGAGTCTGAGTAGAGAAAGAGCAGTCACAGCCACCACGGGGCCCTTACAGAGAAGGAGCCAGTGAGTACGGAGAGGGCACGCCAGGCCCTGAGTGGGTCCACACGCACACACCGCTGAAACGTCAGCGCTTTCGGCTTGTATCCCGTCCTGCACTGCATCCGTCAGCAAACCCGGCCGACACTACCTTCAAAGTGTATTCAGAATCACACCATTTGTCACTTTCTTTACTGCCGCCACCGTGCTCCAAATCTCAGCATCTCTCCCTGCCTTCTATGGGAGCATCCTAACTGCCCACCCTCTGCACCCCCAGCCCCGCACTCCTGTGGTCCATTCTCTACACAGGGCCCTGAGTGAATCCACTAGATCCCGGGTCAGATCTCCTCCTCCTCTGTTCCATTTCCCTCAGAGTGGCCTCCTCTCCTGCCGCTGCCCCTCCCCTCGGAGGCATGTTGGTGCCTTGCTGCCTCAGAGCAAGCCAGGGCACCCCTGCCCCAGGACCTTTGCACTCACAGTAGTCCTCTGGCTCAAACTCTCCCACCGGACATCCAAGTGGCTCACGCCCTTACCTCGGTGAAGGGAGTCCTTGCTCACAGGTCACCATCTCAGCGAGGCCTCTCCCTGAGCACCAGCCCTGTTAGTAACACAGACCCCTCCCATCTAGTCAGTCACTCTCCATCTTCTTTGTCCTGACTCATTTTCCTTCACAGCACTCGTCACCATCTGACCCATTATGTTTTTTATTTCCCCCACTAAGACGTAAGCCCTACAGGGATTTTGTCTGCTTCACTCACCGCTCATCCACCGTGCCTGGCATGCAGCAGGTCCCCGAGAAATCCGCACTAAATGCGTGGCCAGGTGCATGCCGGGCCTTCCTCCCTCACCTAGAGCTCTGGAAGCCTAGATCTGCTGCCCCGCATCTTCCACAGCACCGTCCCCGTGCTAGATGCTCAGCAGGCGCGCAGCAAACACCTCTGGAATTGAAGCAGATCATGTTCTGCCAGCATAACCATGAAGGGATTATTCTAATTATTATAGCTACGCTGATGACACTTCTGCCTACTGCAGGCACGCAGCCATCATCTCAAGTAGTTAGCAAACTGATTCGTTTGCTAGACACTTTAGAAGACACAGAACTCTTCTAGGGCCTGGACATAAAATCATGAATGAGATACATTCTCCTTTCTCAGGAGGTTCTCAGCCCAGTGAGAAACACAGATTCCCAGCATGCAACGGTCACAGAAGATGGGGAGTATGGTCAGAGAAACAGGCATGAGGCATTGCAGAGGGTACAGAGGAGGGGCACCTGGCTCACCCCAGGGGGAGTGTGGGTGTGGCAAGTTGCAAAAGGTATTTAGGGATCAATAGGAGTTCTCCAGGGAAAGGGAAGATGGAGACAGTGAGGGAGAAGGCATCCAAGCCATAGTAGAAAGTGAGTAAAAGGGGATGGTAGGCCAGGAAGAGAAAAAGGGGATGTTGTTAAATTACAGACAAAAGGTGACAGGGGAAGAGAGTGGAGAGGGCAGAAGTCAAGTCAAATCACAAAGAGTCCTGTTCAGTATCATGTGCAATATGATTCCTTGGTAGGAAGAAATTATAAACCCTTCTACTTATATCTGTGTCTGAAATGTAACATTTAGTGTGAAACAAGCTCTGAGGCTCTCCTAATATCTGCATGGGGTCAGTCACGCGTCCCATTCAGCACAGCTGCTATCAGGAGCGAGGGTGGGGGCTCAGGCACCCAGAGCCGCCGACTGACCATGCTTCCCTCCCCTCTTGATTTTTTACCTTGGGGGACTGGGCTTATTGCAGTTGACATGTGGGTGCATAACGGGCGTGTAGGCTGTGTTACCTAGCTGCGATCTGCAAACCCTTAGAAGACGACAAGCGGTGTTATACCATTGCTAAGAAACCCTGACTGAGACTGCAGTTGCCCCGTGAACAAGGGCCTGAACTACACGGGTCCACTTAGACAGGATTTTCTACCGCCTCTACCACCCCTGAGACAGCAAGACCAATCCCTCCTCTCCTTCCTCCTCCTCTTCCATAGTCTACTTCATGTGAAGAAGATGAGGATGAAGACCTTTATGACGATCCACTTCTACTTAATGAATGATAAATATATTTTCTCTTCCTTATGATTTTCTTAATATTTTCTTTTCTCTAGCTTATTTTATTGTAAGAATACAGTAGAGAATACATACAGCACACAAGATACATGTTAATCAACTGTTTATCTTATTGGTAAGACTTCCAGTCAATAGTAGGTTATTAGTAGTTTTCTGGGAGTCAAAATTTATATGTGGATTTTCCACTGCATGTGAGGTCAGTGCCCCTAACCCCCACATTGTTCAGGGGTCCACTGTAATAGTGATATTACACAGGTTCCCTCTCTAGGTCCATAACACATGCCCCCCCCAGTACAAACTGATACAGCTGACATTGCTACTTCCAGTACAAACTCTTTGCATGACACATTACTCGGATTAAAAAAAATCCTATAATCATAAACAGCATTACATACTGATATTACTAACATACTAATTGTTGAGTGAGAGTGAAAAGAGTTTTTTGGCAGTTAAATAAAATTTTAAAAGCATTTTAAATATTTCATCTTAAAACTTATTTTGGGGGTGCGTGCTTTTTATAATATGCATAATACATTGGTACATATACATATACACATAATGTATAAACACACAAATATATCGCAGGTATCTGCCTGACCATTTTGTCTGGAAGGATTTGCAATCAAACTTGTCTGAAGACCACAACTGTGAGCAATGGGAACCACAGAAGGACCAAAGCAGAGGAGATGGTCAGATTTGTGTTCCAGTGTTGATGAAGGTCAGAGGAGAGCCAGCCAAGCAGGACAAGCCTATCCTCGTTCAGGCAAGAGATCACGAGTGCTTGAGTTAAAAAACACTTTGAAAGACATTGAAAAATTAAAAGGAATAGAAATTAGTGATCTGGTACTAGATTGTAAACTCCACGAGGGCACATTCTGTGTCTGTCTCATGAACTACCATTTCCTAAGCTGGTGTGTGTGGGTTTTATAAATGCGTGTTGACTGAGCGAATGGATATACACGTGATGGTGGGTGGGGAGAGAGTCGGGAAAGTGCTGGACTTCCCACCCTGGTGGCATGGGGAGCTGGCAGCGTTGCATGGGAGGAGCTCGCGAATGCCACAGATGTAGCCATCTACGTGGAACCATTGTAAAGCCAGTCTCTCAAAACTAAAGCAGCAAAAACCCAGACAGGAAACTATCAATGATTTTTTATAAATTTACTCAAAAATAAAAATCAACATAAAGAAAAATACACAATTACAATATTAGTTTTCTGCACATGATCTTTGATGGAGACATAATCATATCAGGATAAACTTTGGTTAAGGAAAGAGAATCCGTTAGACACAGCTCATTAACGTAGAAGTGAGGGGAGGGGACAAAAGGTAAACCCCACACGTATTTTCAGTCTATTAATGCTTCTTCAGAAAGAAACCCACTCGGTTGCATAATATGGCTATACTTTAGATGTTCTGCCTCCCATTAGGCTTACTCAGATGAGATTATGAGTTCAAAGGTATAAACAACGGCAGGACATTTTATTTTTCAGGATGAAGTAAAATGCTTCGCATATCTGAGATTTAGGAGCAGGTAAAGGAGAGGGGTATATTCAAGGGAGGTTTTAAAAGGTGAGGAAGGACAAATCCATAGTGGGTTAGAGAAACTAGTATGCTTTCAGAGCCTGCCCTAACTTCAGTGTTTTGGTACCCACTCGACATTTGATAGTGTCTTTTAGATATTACTAGAAAGAAGGAAGGGAGAGAGGGATACCAGATTGGAGAAGGGGAGGCATGGGAGGAGAGAAGGAAAATAGGAAAGAATTCTACAAAAAGGAATTAATTCATTCATTCATCCTTTCTATAGTTGTCTTTGTGGCCCCTGACAGTGGGAATATAGGGATATGTCTGCTGTAGCTTTTGAATAAAAAAGAGATACAGGATGCTTCCCTTGACCAAACTCTGCAAGGCAGGGCACCGAATGTTATGTTTTGGCTTTTAGCAAATACATTGTCCCATGTGGAATTATTTTATGACCTGGAATAGGTCTTTAGAGGATGGCACACATTTTCAAAATTGTAGGTTGAAACCACTCTGTGTAGGTATTAGTGATGTGATAAAAAGCAAATGTCTTATTTCTGCTCTCTCAGAAAACATAAAAATTATGAGTAGGATAAGAAGACAACTGTTCCAAAATTCAACGATTTTCAGTTACATGTCAACAGCAATAAACAGAGGGAAGCGCCACTTTGAGAGTGGACCCAGTCCCTGGACTGAGTACGTAATTGATGTACTTGACAGCATTTTAAAAATACTGGAGAAGGAATCATATCGGCTATTGCTGAGTAGCAGCATTTTGATGCAGACTGCACTAGTTTGAAAACCATGGATCAACAGGCCTAACTTGAAGAATAACAACTAAATGGGTTCATCTTTCTTTTACAGAGGCATTAACTTTCTCCAGCATCAAAGTTCATTGGGTATCCATTCATCCTGTACCAAATGAATTCCTTCATTGTCTAAAGAAGTCACAGTTTTCTAGATTTTATAGTTACTTGTGACTTAGAGGTTACCTATTAAAATATCCATTATCAAGTAGAAATCCTTTGAAAGGCATTCTTGCCAGAGGATTGACAAGTCAATGCCCTTCTGAAAAGTTAGTAATTTATTCCACATGCTTAAAAGGCCCATGTTCAGTCATCTCTCTCCAGACTATACTTTTAGTGGAAAAAAGAAAAAGATTATGATTTTTTACATATGTGGGAACTTGAGTTCCTCTTCCTATCATAAAGAACACTTTTGAAATGGCTGTTTATGGAAAGATAAATATGAAGTTCTAAAAATATCACAATTACAAGTTGAAGGTTTTGGTGTGCCAAGTGTTAACTAAGATTTAAAATCTTCTGATCAAGGAAAAAAAGCAAGGTTAAAACAAAGTTTAGCATGTGTTAACTATCAAAATACATGCCATTTATCTTAACTTAAAGAGAGAGACTAGGTATATTAAATGTAATTTACAAATAGCATTAGAACTTAATGTTCAAAATAATTTGATGTAGTTAATAGAAGACTGATGCTTACCTCTTCATAAACCTTCTTGGCATTGTCATTATCTCCTATCAAGAGGTATCCCACTCCAAGGTCATTCTTTAAGGAAGTATCATTGGGAAATAGTTGAACTAATCTCTGCAGGGTGAGCAGGGAACCTCGCATATGACCTGAGTTGGTGGGAAGGGAAAAAAAGCCCAACAGAAATAAAAACAGATTGTGTACACCTTTGTATTGAGAACACGAATCACGACAGACTATGCCATAGAGCCCAAAAGCCAGCTTAAATCTGACTTTATATATTAGTGGCTTATTAAGGACCTACTAAGATTTCATGATATAGTTGCAGTGGTATCAATAACTGCCATAAGTCGATACTGAATATAATATTGATTATAAACATTTTTAAAGACATTTTCATTTTCTAAATTCATCAACATTTACATTTTTAGGTTAAATTCCCTCTTAAGAAAGTTTTAGTTACTAATTCCTTGTTAAAAAGTGTTTTGCTGAGATATTTTTGGTTTATTAACTTTAAGATTATGAATAGAGGGTAAACAATAAAAAGTCTAACAGATTTCAGGGTCTAGCACCCTGTATGAAACCTGAAAAGGCACTGAGGTACACAGGACTTAACCGCTGACGCCGTCTCCAATTAAAATTGTGCTCCTCTCTAGGTAGTAACAAAGCAAAGGACACATCCTCCAGTATTATGGGACCCTCTGGTGGATGACAGCACACTATGCACTACCTGATGTCCTGGAGAATCATGAAAAATTCAGCTTCAACTCATTTTAAAGCTCTGCATGGAAATTTAACATTTCTGCGGTCAGGTATCATTATTTCTTGCCACAGTTGGAAAGAATCAACTGTATAAAAGAAAATGTGCACAAGACTAGCATACATTAAAAAAAAAAAAAAGAATTACCTAAAGGGCTTAGTTGCTCACAAACTGAACATTAGGCAGGCGTGTGGCAGGAGTGTCAATCAGCTGGTGCAACGATATCCTCCACTAACGGACGATCTGGCATAAAGCTTCACCAGCTCAGCCCGAGGCCTACACCCTGTTACTGGTCAATCGCATGTATTCCCATCACAACTCCCGGTGAGTTTGCTCCATTCCCTCACTAATAAATAAGTCTCTTTTCTATACCCTTCCTTCCCCCTATCTGCTTCTAAACTCTTCTTATCATCCATAACAAAGGCGCAGATGAAATTCCCTCCTGCTCCTTCCACTCTGCATTCCGGAATCTGTTCTATTGGGAGCAAATTTCACCATCTTGCCATTTTCACTAAAATCTGCCTGCAGTTGCCTCGGAGCCCTCTCAGGTGAACTTGCCTCATTCTCATTCAGAGGAAAGGACCATATTCGAGAACTGAAGGACGGTTGTGCTGGAGGGTTAGATTGCTTCGTAGGGGTCTCATGCCCATGGCTGAGAATAGGGTGAGGCAAGTGAGACACTTGATGTAAAATGTAAGAAGATGCCAAAAAAAGTCTGTAATCTTGATTTGTAAAATAGTTTAATGCATCCTTTTAAAAAATAGAAATTAATATAAAAATCCATGATGAACAAAATATTAACAGCTGAAAGACAGAATCGGTAAACAGTGCTACGCAGAGCCATATCGGAGGCTGAGGCAAAAGGAAAACTCACTAAGCCTGACTTTGAGTCCATGGCCTGTGCCTCCATCGCCTCCCCTGAGTCCCGGCCCTGCCTTTCCAACTCGTATTTGTGCGGCATGTCTTCCCTCCCCTGGACTGCTCCCTACGAACATACGTCTAACTGATCACTTCTTGTTTTTAATCATCAGTTGGGCTCTACTCCTATCACAGATTTTGGTCTTCCACAAAAGTGATGCAACCCCCCTTTATTCTATTCCTTAGAAGCTGAGCAAAGGGTCACTTGGGCCTTAAATGACATTGATAATCTGTCCATGCAACTATCCAGCCAGCTGAGCACCCATCTCAGCAGTGAGGCGGTGACTGTGGCTTAGCTCTCTCCCTCCCGGTTTACCAATGAGATGCTGAGGGGAGGGAATCACAGCCCGGTTAAATGAAGTTGGCTCACTACTAGTCTCACCTGTCTTCAGCACTGGGGACCTGGGTCGGTCTGGAGGATGCTTTACGCTACTGTTCCAGGTACTTGCAAATCTATGTTATGATTAAAATGTTTTCTCAGCATTTTCCTAAGTATAGGGTTGAATCTTACAAATAAAATTTTTAGAGTGTCTGGAACTCCTAACATTACTCTCTAAAAAATTTTCCATGCAAAATTTTAAACCTCCATGAATGAGTTTGTTTTAGTTAAGAGAGAAAAGAATTAGCATCACTGGAGGAGTTTCTGATTTCAGATCTATTAATTTATTAGCTATGGTTCCTTAGGCAAATTATTCAAGCTCTCAGCATTTTATTCACCTCACCTTTAAAATGGGAAGGGAGGGGAAAAGGGAAGGCATAAAAATGCTATCTGCATCTTCGTAATTACGGGCATACCTCGTTTTGTTACATTTTGCTTTATTGCACTTTGCAGATATTACGTTTTTCACAGATTGAAGGTTTATGGCAACCCGGTGATGAGAAGTCTATTGGCACCATTTTTCCAACAGCATGTGCTCACTTTGTGACTCTGTGTCACATTTTGGTAATTCTTGCAATATTTCAAACTTTTTCATTATTATTATGTCTTTCATTGGTGATCTGTGATCAATGGTCTTTGATGTTGCAATTTAAATGTTTTTAGACACCACAAGCCACACCCATATAAGATGACAAACTTAATTGATAAATTTTGTGTGTGTTCTGACTGCTCCATCGACCAACCATGCCCCTGTCTCTCTCCCTCTCCATGGGCCTCCCTATTCTCTGAGACACAATATTGAAATTAGACCAATTAATCCTAACAATGGCCTTTAAGTGTTCACTGAAAGGAGGAATCACATGTCTCTCATTTTAAGTTAAAAGTTAGAAATAATTAAACTTAGTAAGGAAGGCATATTGAAATCCTAGACAGGACAAAAGCTAGGTCTCTTGTGCCAAACATTTAGTCAAGATGTGAATGCAAAGAAAAAGTTCTTGAAGGAAATGAAAAGTGCTACTCCAGTGAACACACAAATAATAAGAAAGTAAAACAGCCTTATTGCTGATATGGAGAAAGTTTTAGTGGTCTGAATGGAAGAACAAACCAGTCACAACATTCCCTTAAGCCAAAGCCTAATTCAGAGCAAGATACTAACTCTTGTTAATTATATGAAGGCTGAGAGAAGTGAGGAAGCTGCAAAAGAAAAGCTGGAAGCTAGCATGGAGTGGCTCACGAGGCTTAAGTGCAGGGTGAAGCAGCAAGTGCTGATGGAGAAGCTGTAGCAAGTTATCCAGAAGATCTGGGTAAGATCATTGGTGTAGGTGGCTACACTAAACAACAGATTTTCAATGCAGACAAAATAGCCTTCTATTGGAAGAAGATGCCATCCAGGACTTTCATCTAGAGAGAAGTCAATGCTTGGCTTCAAAGCTTCAAAGGACAGGCTGACTCACTTGTTAAGGGCTAATGTAGCTGGTGATTTTAGGTTGAAGCCAATGTTCATTTACCAGTCGAAAATTAGGTTGAAGCCAATGTTTACTTACCATTAGAAAAATCCTAAGACCCTTAAGAATTACACTAAATCTACCCTGCCTGTGCTCTAGAAATGGAACAACAAAGACCGACATATCTGTTTACAGCATGGTTTATTGCATATTTTAAGCCCACTGTAGAGAGCTACTGCTCAGAAAAAAGATTCCTTTCTAAATACTATTGCTCATTGGCAATGCACCTGGTCACCCAAGAGCTCTGAGGGAGATCCACAAAGAGATGAATGTTATTTTCATGCCTACTAATACTCCATCCAATCTGCAGCCCACGGATTAAGGAGTAACGTCAACTTTCAGGTTTTATTAGTTAAGAAATACATTTTGTAAAGTTATAGCTGCCAGAGATCGTGATTCCTCTGATAGTTCTGGGAGAAGTAAATTGAAAACCTTCTGCAAAGATTTCACCATTCTAGATGCCATTAAGAATATTCATAATTTATGGGAGTAGGTCAATATATTGACACTAACAGGAGTTTGGAAGAAGTTGATTCCAATCTTCATGGATGACATTGGGTGGTTCAAGACATCGGGGGAGGAAGTAACTGCAGATGTGGTAGAAATAGCAAGAGAACTAGAATTAGGCATTTAGCATGAAGATATAACTGTATTACTATAACCTCATGATCAGACTTGACTGGAAGAGGAGTTTCTTTTTATGGATGAGCAAAGAAAGTGGTTTCTTGAGATGGAATCTACTCCTGGTGAAGATGCTGTGAACATTGTTGAAATGACAACAAAGGATTTAGAATATTACATAAACTTAGTTGATATAATAGTGGCAGGGTTTGAGAGGACTGATTCCAATTTTTAGTTCTACTATGGGTAAAATGCTATCAAACAGCATCACATGCTACAGCGCAATCTTTCATGAAAGAAGAGTCAATCAATAAGGCAAACTTCATTGTTGTCTCACTTTAAGAAATTGCCACAGCCACCCCAGCCTTCAGCACCCAGCACCCTGATCAGCCAGCAGCCACCAACTTCAAGCCAAGAACCTCCACCAGCAAATAGACTGACTCACTGAAGGCTCAGATGATTGTCAGCATTTTTTAGCAGTAAGGTATTTTTCAATTAAGGTATGTAGATTGTCTATTTTTTCATTGTAATGCTATTGCACATTTAACAGTATAGGGTTGAATGTAAACATAAATTTTATATGCACTGGGAGACCAAAAAATCCACATGACTTGCTTTATTGTGATATTTGCTTCATCACAGTGTTCTGGAACTAAACCTGCAACATCTCCAAAGTATGCCTGTAATTAGATTCGCATTGCTATTTCAGTTTTAGAGACGGTCAGTCTAAACCACAGTCAGATAAATTACTTGGAATTATTTACAAAAGTCAGGTTTCCTCTCATGTAACTTAACTCTTCTACGAGTATACAGGGCCTGCAGGTTCTTCACGATAAAAGCAGGCCATTTCCCGCTGAATTAACTCTTACTGTGTCTTACCTAGAAATTGCTGTCTGTCCGAGCGCCGCTTCAAACTCAGCTTCAGCAGGTCCGTGGGGACATCGGGCAGGCTGGCCACCTCTTGGTAGGTCTCAATGGCCCTGCGCAGCAGCTCATTGCTCCTTCTCTTCTCAGCCAAATCATCTTCACACTAGAGGAAGCCCCCAGACTGTATAAATGTGCTATGACTTGCTATATTCATAATTATGCAAATAGTCATAAAAAGTTAACTTTTAGACAAGCTTTAAAAGAAATGTAAGACAGCTTAACCTTTTCTTTTTGTTAACAGATTTAAAAAAACCAAAAGAAAAGCAAAATAACACACTCTTAATAACAAGAAGAAAATTTGCTACTAAACTATAGATAAGAAAGAACATCCTAAAAGCAAGAGTGATTTATACTAGGGCTGATGGAGATTTATATCCTGTTAGTAGAATTCTACAGGTTAGGACTCCAGTCCAAGTTCCTGCTCTTTCATTAATTTATTCATGTGTTCATTCATTCATTCATCCACTCAACAACTATTTCCTGGGAGCAAGGCACTGTTCTATGAATGTGGCAGACAAATTGAACAAAACAGACATCTTCTGCTTTCATTTTGGAAAGGAAAAAAAGATGATACACAAATAAAGTTATCATGTGTCTAATGGCCATAAGTGCTGTGGATAAAAACAAAGCAGGCTTAGGAGTGAGCGCTGGGTGGGGTGGTAAGGAAGTTGCTAGTTTATCAGAAGGATCAGGGCCTGAGAAAAGGGAGGGAGCAAGCTGGAAGCACGTCTTGGGGAAGAGTGTATTGGGCAGAGAAAACAGCGAGAGGAGGGCTCTGAGGTGGGAGTGAGGAAGCGAGGAGAGGCCTGCACGTGCACGGTGGAGGGAAAGCAGGGGAGGACTGACGTGGCCACACGGTAAAGCAGGGGAGGACTGATGGGGCCACACGGTAAAGCAGGGGAAGACTGACGGGGCCTCACGGTAAAGCAGGCCTGAGGCACTATGGCCAGTCCTACCACACGCACTGAGATGGAGAGACACTGGGGCTTGGGAGGTGCCCTGACACATGTGTTGAAGGGATCCTGGTGGCAGCAGTACGGGGAACAGACTGAGGGTTTGGGGGAGCAGCAGAGAGCCCAGGCAGACGCTCCTGCCGAAATCCAGACGTGGGACGTTGTGGGTCGGACCAAGGTAGTAGTTAGTAACGGAGGTGGTAAGAAGTGACTGGATTATAGACGGATTTTGAAGGTCAGAGCTAACAGATCTGCAGATGGTCTGAATGTGGGATATGAGAGAAAGGGAGAGAGAGTGGCCAGGAATGACATCAGGGTTTTTGGCTTGAGTGATTAAGAGATAAACTGTAATTCCCTGGGAATGGGAAGACAGGGCAGAAGTGGGTTTGGGGGAGTGTGCAATCAGTTCGGGACATACTAAACCCAAAGGGAGACACTGACAAGGAAGGTGCATGTGTGAGCCTGGAGTTCAGTGAGAGGGCAGAGGCAGAGGCAGACACCGGGGAGCCATCAAGGAGAGACGGCCTGTAAAGCTTGGAAGCCAGAAGCAACTGTGAACATGGACAGTATAAGACATCTGAGAACTGAACCCCTAGGGAAGGCTAATGTTTCTAGGTCATTAGAGGTCAGGACTACAAGGGAAGGCCAGCAAAAAGGACGGAGAACGCGTGAGGTGAGACGAAAATAACAACAAAAATGTGGTGCTCTGGAGGCCGAGTGAACAAAAGGCAGAGCTCAAGTGTGTTACAACTGGCTCTCAGGTTTGGCGAGATGAGCACTGAGGCCGGATCCCGCTGGACTGAGCTCGGAAGCCCTGAAAGAGCGTTTCCACGGGACTTGTAGGGACGTGCACCGGAGTACGGCAGGTTCACGAGAACACGGGAGGGAAGGCGGTGGAGACAACTCTCTCAAGGACTTCCACTGTGAAGGGGGCTGAGAAAGGGGCCAGCACGTAGAGGGGAATGTGGAGACACGAGAGAGTCCTATGAGGATGGGAAATAGTACAGCACGTTTCCAACAGATGCAAAAGACCCAGCAGAGGGGGGAAATCTGATGATGCGGAAGGGGACACACGAATTAGAATGACGTCCTTGCGCAGGTGACAGGGGAATGGGCACCAGACCAGTCCATCCGTGCTCGCTGGGCAGATGGCACAGGTGTAGGCACGTTGTTAGCACAGCAGTGGGGTCATGTGGGAATTCTCTGGATACTTCTATTTTCTTATGAAGTGAAAAACAAGATCCTTAGCTGGAAACTGAGAACAGGGAGTGAAGTACTGGAGGGAGGAAGAGAGGAGAATGTGTAAAATGATCGTCAGTCTCTCATCAGATCTAGCAGACCACAATTTGAAGATTAACATTTGAGGAAAAATGATACCAGTTCAATGCTAAAAGTAGCATGTGTAAATTTTTTCTCAGAATATTTAAACATGTTTATCTGTTTAACATGTTTACCTTTCAAAAATAAAGTGTGCACTATAGTCATTATAGAGATGGCTGCAGAACACAAACAAAGCATCACTCTACAACGCGAGGACACGGTAAGAAAATAATCCCTTCTTCCCGTCTCCCAATAAAAAAACTAATAAGAATTAGCACAAAGTGATAAAGTAAGATATTTGTGAGAATTTCTTCAGAAAATAACACATCAATGAAATAACTTAAGGCATAGTGATTAGGATAAATGTCTCAAGGTGATGAAGGCTAGAACTGAAGCAGTGCCACTAGAAGTGGACAGATTCATGAGAAAGGAAAATTAGCAGGACAAAAATCTCTAGATTAGAAAAGGGCAATTCACTCTTCTTTAATGGAAATATGCTTCAGAAACCATTCAACTACCTATTCAAATCTGCAAATGGTCTCCAGAATAGACTTATCTACTGGGAAAGAAAGTCCAGTGTCAATGACCCATATTGATCATGATGCCAGGACAGCCTTGCATTGTATATTCATATGCTGTCTTTTCTGTTTAGGCATCAGCTTCTTGTGAGTTTGGTTATGGTGAGTTAACTCCCCAGAACTCAAATATTGATAAATAACTTCACAGAAACATAGAGTCCTAGGGCCAAGAGTCCTTTTGAGACCACCTACAGATGATCCTCAACTTACGATGGGGTTACTTCCTGATAAACTGATCATAAGTTGAAAATATTTTAAGTTTAAAATGCATTTACTATACCTCAACCTACTGAACATCACAGCTTAACCTAGCCTACTTTAAATGTACCCAGAACACTTACATTAGCTAGATTTGGGCAGAATCATCTAACACACAGCCTATTTTATAATAAAGTATCAAATATCTCATGTAATTTATTGAATACTGTATGAAGTATAGTTTCTACTGAATGCATATTGCTTTCACGTCGCCATAAAGTGGAAAAATCCTAAGTCGAACCATCATAAGTCAGAGACCGTCTGTAGTTCACCTTCTTCATTTTGAGCCCACAAAGCACCTAAATAGATCCTGGAACTGGAGTTCTCTGCAGGATTAGTGGAAGGAAAAATGCCTACTAAGATAATCCTTCTTTACAGAGATCAGAATAAATATCTTTAACTAAATTCAATCTGATAAGAGAAAGATGATGCAATCTGTATGCCTTGTCCCCTCCCTGCACCCAGGGTCCTTCGTTTTAATGAAGTTATAAACATTTTACAACTTCCAGAATTGGAAAAATATCATTACTAAAATGGCACATAATTCTTTAAAATCTCTTGAATGAAACTGACAGGCACTTGCATTGAAAATCAAGATTGTACAGATTGATTTTTATCAGTTTAGCACCTGTAGATAAAACGAGCTGAACTGAAACTGAACATTTGTTACAGGACGTTAACATCGCGACGTTAACATCGCAAAGCCTTTGTTGACTCTAACTAACTCGCCCATCCAATCTTTCTAGGGGATGTGTCATTTTCTGCCTCAAAGGCATTAATGGTTTGGGAAAGATAATGAAGTGAATTGAGTCTATAATTCAAGATTTTGTGTCTGATGTTCAGGGAATTTGATCAAATTGATTTTCACAGTGATGCCAAGATTAAGACAATACTGGTGCTACTTTAGAAATGATAGATACTGTAGTTTATATTTGACTTAATGTTGCTGAATTTTTTAAATTTGTTGGGATATTCTAAATTGTTTAATCTGCTAACAAAGAATAAAAAAGTCATAATTTATTCCTTCCTATTAAATTCACAGGATACGTAATCGTCCTTCAGTATCTATGGGGGATTGGTTCTAAGACCACCACCACTGCTCCCCTCAGATACCAATGTCCAAAGCTGCTCAGGTCCTTGATATAAAATGGCATAGTATTTGCACATCCTCCCATATATTAATACTTTAAATCAACTCTAGATTACTTATAATACTTAATACGATGTAAATTCTATGTAAATAGTTGTTACATTGTCTTGCTAATTTTTTTTTATTGTTGTGTAGTTATTTTTTATTATGTTTTTCCCCAAATATTTTCAATCTGTGGTTGGCTGAAGCCATGGATACAGAACCCAAGGTTATGGAGGGCCAACTGTAAATACAGGAATCACTGTGTTTCAAAGCACTGTATTTATTTATACCTTGGTACTCACAATTAATATTATATATAAAGAAAAATTCTAAAGCATAAAACGTTTTTGCCATAATTAAATTAGCATTTGCATAAACCATTTTTCTCTCTAGTTAATATGCTTTCCTTAATCAAATGCCTTAATACTAGTGACAAAATACATCATTTATCTTAATAGGCATTATCTTTTGGTAAAAAATATATTCTCTTATTTAATAGCAATATAATTTAGCAATTTTAGAGGACTGCTGACCAAATTAACCTATAAAAATCATTAAAGGTGCTATCTGCTAAACTTGATCTGTACCATGGACAAATGGAACTTATTTGCATAAATTTTTCAAAGACTAAATTAAAATGTAATTAATAAAAATTCATTAATTTTTAATAGGGAGATAAGAAGACGTTAAGCATCTGGATCTCAAGTGGTCACCACCTTTAGTTCAGAGCAAAATGCACTTGTTTTATTTACAGATGTGTTAGTTCCTGTGTGTGTCACGTAAGTGCCTTCACGGATCTTCTGCAAAGGGGTGTTGTCAGCTTTTCCTCTGCCTGGAAAATTTCTGTAGTTCTGAATCTGCAGTTTCCCAGCAAGGCTGACAATCTCATCCCTCCAGACAGCTGCGGGAGCTTTATTGCCTGGCACAATTGTATGTCCAGCCCTGGCTTTTCCCTGAGTTCCAGGCTCCATGAATCCAACGGTCTACCTGACGCGTCCACTGTGTCTAATAGGCATCGCACACTTCCCAAGACCAATAGCAAACTCCTGATTTCTGCATCTCTCCAAACTTGTGCTTCCTGGTAGTAACCGGCACTATCCTCTCCTCAGCTGCCCAAACCAAAAACCCGGGAGTCAGCCTTGAATCCTCTCTCTGACACGTCTAATCCATGCTCAAGTCCTTCCAGCGCTGCCACCCGCCCACTTCCCCCACCTCCATGGCTACAACCACAGTCCGAGCCACCAGCATCTTTTGCACATACTTGCTACAGCCTCCTATTCTTCCTGCATCTACTTTTGCCCCCAGAATCCATTCTCTACCCAGCAACCAAAGCAATCTTTATAAAAAACGAGCAGACCATCCCGTCGTCCATGCATAAAACCCCCCAGTGGCTTTCCGGCACATGTAGAATAAAATCTGTACGGGCCCAGCCTCCCTCGTCCACCCCACCCCCAATGCCCTTCTTTTCGTCCTCGGGTGTATCGTGCCAAGAATGTTTCCCCGCATCACAGCCTTTGCCGTGCTGTTCCCTCTGCCTGGACAGCTCCTGCCACAATCTCCTCACGTCTCAGCCACCTGCTGCCTCCCTAGAGAGCTCTTTTCTGACCACCTTATCCAAGGTGCTGTCTGCCCCATCTTTTTCCATCACATTACCTGCAGCCAAAAAAATCCTAAGAGTTATAATATTAAGTATATTTTTATTTGATAGAGACTTTCGGGCTTTGCACAAAGGCAGCCTCCTCGGTGACACCTTTCCTGCCACCCTGTCCACCATGCCAACCCCCTTAAGTGTCCAATGGTCGTCACTTGCTTTATTTCTGTTCTCCTTAGCACTTATCACTAGCAAGCGTATACACGGTGCTTGTCTGTCTTATGCATTGCCTTTCCCTTTACAACGGAAGCCCCACAAGGGCAAGGGCTTTTAAAATATGTTCTGTTGACGGCTGTATCTCTAGTGCCTGGAACGGGACCTGGCACATATGAGGCTCTCACTAAATATTTTTGAGTAAGTTAAAAAATATCTTCCACTAGAATATAAGATCCACAAGGACAGGGACATCTAGAATGTTCATTATATTGCATTGTAAATATTTAAAATTTTTCTGGATGTTATGTTTTGACATCTCTAAAAACCTGTCTGGCTGGGGAAATACTGCCCTTTCGGAGCGAGCCAGTTCTCAGAACAGCAAGCGCTCAGCCAGGAGCGAGCCTCTGATATGCAAACTAACCAATGCGAAGCCACACCTCCTCCATCTGGCCCAAATGGCCCAGGAGACAATATTTCTCTGCTTTGATCACCCCAGGGTCAGGTACCAGGCAAGTAGGAGCTTCCTTTATAGCCCAAAGCCTGCCAAAATTATGCAAACCAGCCAATCCTAAATGTTGCCCGACCCTGCCTTTCCCATGGAAACCTCAATAGAGGCTCTGGTCTGTGTGGCACACGGGGCTTCCCATCTCTAGCACCTGTGAGTGTAATAAATTCTGCTTTTCCCTAAGCCTCTCCTTGCCTCCTCTTGTGGCTACGCCTGACTGACCATCTCATAAAAGAACATAAAACAGATACTCCCGGGCCTAAAACAGTACCTGGCACAAGGTGGGTTTACACAGTTACAGGTGAATGTGGACAAGCTTCATGAAAGAAGTTGGAAATTGGAGAAAGCTGGATACGAAAGCAGATGGTGGGAGATGGGAATAAGTTCGCTGGTGAGAAATGAGTCCATTGAAAGAAACTATAGAGAACTCAGAGTGCCTTCTACTTTATATTTTTAAAAAGTCTTTCCTAAGCTTACTTGCAACCTCTGGTTTTAAAACTGAGAGTCTGAAAGCTCCACAGAGCCTCAAGTGAAAACTGTGGTGGGTTTAAATGGAATGAGACCTGGGTTATGGGAAATCAATGACAGAAGCGTTACCCTTTTATTTTCTTTTCAAAACCAGAGAGAATTCACATGGAAGGGGAGCAGAAAAAATGTCACTAAATTCGGCAGCATGCGACAGTGATAATTAATTGCCTTATTTATTTATTTTTTTGAGACAGAGTCTCACTCTGTTGCCCGGGCTAGAGTGCTGTGGCCTCAGCCTAGCTCACAGCAACCTCAAGCGATTCTTGGGCTCAAGCGATCCTTCTGCCTCAGCCTCCCGAGTAGCTGGGACTACACGCATGCACCACTATGCCCGGCTAATTTTTTCTATATATTTTTAGCTGTCCAATTAATTTCCATTTTTGGTAGAGACAGGGTCTTACTCTTGCTCAGGCTGGTCTCAAACTCCTGAGCTCAAACAATCCACCGGCCTTGGCCTCCCAGAGTGCTAGGATTATAGGCGTGAGCCACCGCGCCCGGCCTAATTGTCTTATTTAAAATAGTACTTCTTGCTTGGGTTTATGCATATACGTGAGAAACTGATTCTGTATAGGAATTAGAAGGGGAAAGCAGAACATGCAAATAGTGGGAAGTGGAAAATCCAATTACACAGAACACATGAACATCAAAAAAAGTTTTCTAAGTAGCAGGGTTTTAGAATACCTGTGCCATTCCATATCTTGCTCGCGGACTCTGAGGGTATTTGCGTACTAGTTCTTTAAATGCATTCACTGCTTCCTCAATTTTTCCCTGTTAGGAAGATGCAACTACATAAATAAATAAATTCAAATGCATAAGGTTATTCAATATGGTTATTTATTATTCACCAAGTGATTCTGTCAGAATTCACTATATTCCATTCTGAGTTTAAAGATAGTTTTACCTAAGATTAAAAAAGAAAAACCATTAAGGCAAACACAAAACTAGGAGTGAATATATATATAAAAATATAAATAATATACACACTATATATATATAATATACACACACTTAATTTTTAAAAAGACACCCAATAAATGATGTGTGTCTTTGTTAAAGAAACTGCATTTTCCTTTTGTATATATCCAGTTCCTACCTGCATTCTCAAAGAAGATATTTAGGTTTTAAGTGGTGGGGGGGATACCACTGGCAGCTAGAATGTCTTGGGTCTTTGAGAGGCAATGAGATGTCTCATCACAGCTCCGAAGCTTATATTAAAAGGGTGGGGAATAAACGTGCATTGGTCATGGTACCGTCGCCCACTGAATGTCAGGGTCGACTCTGCTCGTTTAGCTAATTAGCAGGCATCACTGCCTCTGTGTCACGTGACCCATCCCAAGGCTCACATGCGCCCTTGAGAAGATGGTCCAGGTGCCTTCGGGAGGTCTCTGACCATACTGCAAGTAAAGAAACCGGGGACGTGCAGCAGGTAGGGCTGGTGTTGGAGAGAGGCACTCTCTGTCCACCGCACTCCATGCAGTGCCATTCCAAAGTGGAAACAAACGTCTCCTGGCTTCCAGTGGATGACGTGCTCAGATCAAGGATATTGGGAACCATGGAACAGAGACAGATTGTTCAAGTTGAAGCTTCCCAGATACTCACTTTCTATAAATTGGTGAATCCATGCATTCCACATGTAAATGCAAGCTCACTGTCATTGATATGTTTTGACCTTCGCTGAGTTAAGTTTCTATACAACAAAATTTCCTTCACAACTATGGCTGTGCTAAGCAAACTGTAAAGTTCACACCTACTTCTGAAAGACTTGACTGAATATTGAGGACTCAGGCAGCATCCATGTTAAAGTTCCTCCTTAAATTCATTCCTTTAGGTAGGTATCACCAGAGACGGAGGTTCTCTAATCCCTCTCACATGCCTACAAGTGATGTTGGGGGTTGGTGGCAAATATATGTTTACTGTAGCGGTTCTGAGACTGGTTCGAATCTGGGCTCCACCACTTACAAGGTACGTGACTTATGGCAAGTTACCTATGGTGCCTCACCTGTAAAATGGGGATGACAGTAGCACCTGACTACCTCACGAGGTGGTTGTACATAAACTGCTCACGGACACTGCCAAGAGCAAAGTATTGAACAACGCCGGCTGTTATTATTGTGCCACGTGGGGAGTGTGTTCAGGCACAGGTAACGGGCCGTCACGAATAGGTCTCTCACCTGACAGAAAAGCAGTTTATTGGAAAGGGAATGAGAACTTAGATGCAGGGATAAATCAAGCCAGGGACACATTTCCTAAGATATATTTATTGCCAGAAATAATTGCATCCCTATTTAAAATACACTGTCCTTCTCACAATATTAATTTTAAAAACCTCTATTTTATTTCTTCTGTTAATGATTTTAAGGGGTGCTGAAGAAATCACATTACATTTTTTTTCCCTGTATGATTTTCTTATAAAAACCCCGTATTTGTTTCCTGTGGTCACTGTAAGAAATGACCACAACATTGGTGGTTTAAAGCAACAGAAATTAATTTTCTCGCACTTCTGGAGAATGGAAGCCCAAAATCAGCTGCATGGTCAGCAAGGCTGCATTTCCTCTGGAGTTTCTTTACTTTTTTTTTTTTTTTTAAAGAGGCAAGATCTTGCTTTGTCACCCAGGCCGGAGTGCAGTGGTGTGATCATAGCTTACTGCAGCCTTGAACTCCTGGACTCAAGTGATCCTCCCACCTCCGAAAGTGTTCGGACTACAGGTATGAGCCACCGCCCTTGGCCTCCTCTGGCACTTCTTGCAAAGAATGTGTTCCTTGTCTCTGCCAGCTCTGGTGGCTGCAGCATTCCTTGGCCTGTGGCTGTGTCACTCCAATCTGTTTCCATCTTCGTATCACCTTCTCCTCCGTGTGAGTGTCTTTTCTTCTGTCTGTATCAAATCTCTATCTGCCTCTTTTATTAGGACACATTCAGGGCCAACCCAAATAATCCAGAAAAATCTCTTTTGCAAGATCTTTAACTTAATCATCACATATGCAATGACTTTCTTTCCAGATAAGGGATATATAGGTTCCAGGGATTAGGGTGTGGATATCTTGGGGAGACCATTTTTCAGCCTACCAGAGTGTGCCTTTTGGCCCCAGAGATTCATGTCTGTCTCAAATGAAAAGTACATTCACCCCAACCCAACATTCCCAAAAGTTGCAAATCATTATAGCATCAACTCAAGTCTAAAATCTCATCTAAATTTCATCAGCTGCAAAGTCCAAAATCTATTCATCAAAATTATCTAAATCACGTATGGTTGACATTATGGTTATGATCCTGAAGGAAAATTCCTCTCCATCTGTGGACCTATGAAACCAGAAATCAAGTTACCCGCTTCTAAACTACAATAGTGGGATAAGCACAGGACAACATTCTGGGCATTCCTATTGCCAAAGGGAGAAAGTGGAAGGAAGAAAGGTCACTGGTTCCAAGCAATTTCACAATCGAGCCAGAGAAACTCCATTAGGTTTCAAGGTCTGGGAATAATCCCCTGTGGCTTGAGGCTCTGCCCCTGGGTCCTTGGTCTGGCCTCTGGGTAAAGGCTCTGCCCTTGGAGGTATCCTTTCTTTCTATTGAAAAGGTAGCTCTGCAGCTGATTGGTTTTATCAGCCCGTTTGGGGAGTGTGTCAGCCTTCTTTCACTTCGTTCTCATCTCTTGTCCAAGCTGGCAGTGCCTCTGCTGATATAATATTCTTAAAAACCTGTGGGTCTCTTGTGTAGGTCACAGGGATTCACACCATCAGACAAGAGTCTCCTCTACAGACCCTTTCCATATAATCTCATCTCTGTTCCTGATTTCTGCCTAAATGTTTGAATGGATTCGAGAGACAATGCCTAATGTCTTCAGGAAAAAGATGTCCAGCCCTATCCTCGGACTTCTCTCCAAAGTGTGTGTTGCTAGCAGTGAATTTCCTAATTTTAGCATCTTCCACAATCTGGATAGACGGAGAAGCTCCCAAATTATCAAAGTCTGGTTCTTTTTGCCTTAACAGGTCTTTAATTTATCTCTTTTCTCTCATATTTTACCATAAGCAGCAAAAAGAAACCAGGCCACACCTTCAACACTTTGCTTGGAAATCTCCTTAACCAAATATTCAAGTTTATTACTTGTAAATTCTGCCTTCCACGTAAGTGTAAGACACAACGCAGATAAGTTTTCTGTCACTCTGTAACAAGGGCTAACTTTCCTCTAGCTTTCAATAACATGTTTCTCATTTTCTTCTAGGCCCTTGCCAGAAGTACCTTTTTGTTCCCTGGACATATTTTATTTTTCTTTCTTTCTTTTTCTTCTTTTTTTTAAATTTCATCGTACCCAATAGGTAAGTTTTTATCCCACACTCTCCCTCCGACTCTCCCCCTTCCGTGGTTTCCGACGACATTTACATCTCTTTGTGCCGTGTGTACCCATCGTTTAGCTCCCACTTATTAGTGAGAACATAAAGTGTTTGGTTTTCCATTCCTGAGATACTTCACTTAGGATAATGGTCTCCAGTTCCATCCAAGTTGCTGCAAATGACATTATTTCATTCCTTTTCATGGCTGAGTAGTACCTTTAATGCTCATATTTCTACCCTCCTGTTCATGATCACGTATGCATTCTCTAACATGACAGAAGCTTTCTCTACCATGCTTCTCACTTCTTTCTGAGCCTTCACCAGAGGCACACTTAACATCCATGTTTCTACCAACAGTCTGTTTAAGGCAATCCAGGCTTTTTCTATCATGCATCTCAAAATTCTTCCAGCCTCTATCCCTGACCTAATTCCAAAGCCACTTCCACATTTCCTGGTATTTGTTACAGCAGCACTCCACTGCCCACTACCAAAATCTGCATTCATTTCCTGTGGCTGTTGTAACAAATGACCATGAACTTGGTGGCTGAAAACAAAGAACTGTGTTCTCTTGCAGTTTTGCAGGACAGATGTCCAAAATTAGTTCCTCTGGGCTGAAATCAAGATGTTGGCAGCTCTGCTCTCTCCAGAAGCTCTAAGGGAATATCTGTGCCTTGTCTCTTGCCAGTATTTCCTGACGTGCGGATGTATCACTGCAATCTGCACTTGTCTTTGTATATTGCCTTCTCCTCTGTGCCGTCTTCTAACCAGTCTGTATCCAATTTCTCTCTGCCCCTTTCTTACAAGGAAACATGATTACATTTAAGGCCCAACTGCAAAATCCAGCATAATCTCTCTATCTCAAGATTCTTAACTTAATCTCATCTGCAAAGACCCTTTTCCCAAATAACATAACATTTACATGTTCCAGGGATTAGCACACACATATCTTTGGGGGGCCATTTTCAGCCTACTACATACTCTATGCAACTTAAATTGCAAATGTCAAAGCTACCCTATGACCATTGTGCCAAATGTGCCATTATCAGACTTAAAATGTAGGAATAACAATGTTTATAACAAATTTGATAAAGCACGTTGTTCCTGCTTGACACAATTGCGGGTGAAAAAATAATGGACTATTTCTGCTCTGTCCCAGGCACCCTTTGGAGCCCTTCAAGACAGAGGCTGTGTGGCTTTCCTAAGGGGCCATCAGTCCTGCTCTCACCTTAGCTGGCTGGCAAAATAAATGTGTTTGCTTGTAGTCTGAAAGGATTTCCCTTTCCTAGGTTCTTACACAGCTACTAACACTACTATGCAGTTCTTATTTAAAAACTCAATTGCAAGATATGATGATTGTGAAGAATTGCCTGAAAATGATCTGCTCCTAAACAACTTATATTTAGTCCTAGGACCAAGAAAGATCATTGGAGAGACACGTACTTGGGCCTCACCGTTTGGGCATGTGGCCAATGAGCTGTGCTGAAGGATAAGACACGCGCCAGCAGAGACACTGTAGAATGCACTGGTGTGACATTAGAGAGGAGGCTGTGCAGCCCATCAGCGCCCCCTTCAGGAAGATCTGCAGCACGCTGTTTCTCTCTGCGCTCGGTGCAGTACAGCTACTCTGATGAACGATGTTCATCTTACAGTCTGATTCTGTTTCCCTTGTTCTTCCACCAAGGAAGTGCAGTTGACTCATTCCTAGCATGGTGTAGAGCCTGTGGCATTTCACGTGTTTTATTATGTTTTGTCTTCTTTTTTTCATTTATAATACATACCATAATAATAAATGATTCCAACAGATATTAATAAACAAATATATTTTAATATATCATTTTGAATTCTTTTTCTGGGGGTAGAGAGGAATTTTAAACAATAAATATTATTTTTTAATGGATGATTAAAATATGATCTGATCTATACTTTTTTTGGGAGAAAAAAGTGACCACGTACTTTCATGTAGTGTAAACCTTGGACCTGAGACGCGGACTGAGGCTGGACTGGTCTGTCTGGGGCTATGCCTTAGCTCAGGCCCCAGCTATTTCAGGGCAATACGCTGCATCTGTTGAAAATACTAGCTATGAAAACAACCCTAAAAGACTTAATTATGCTCATGGTTCAGTCAATAATATGGCTCCCAGTCATTTCAGAAGCAAGAATTGCATGTGTGGCCACCTCTTCCTCCTTTATTTACTCTGTTACAGATTCAGGGTGCTCTTTGAGGGAAACATCGTAATTCCTCCAGAGAGGCAAGACTGGAGAATACGTCATGGATGGTTCCAACACTTTATGTCCCACTGACGTATTTACCCCTTGATAACTGCGCCCTTCTGTACCATTGATTATAATGACATAAAGATCCTCCTTTAAAGCTGTTCATTTGTTCTTTAAGCAGAAAGGCACCTGTGCAAAAGGCATCCCACGTTTTTATGTCTGGCATTTAGTATGGAGAAAGTGGCGGTTACCAAAGCAGGTGACAGAAAAAGAAGATTCTCACTTCATTTCCATTGAGAAATACAGATTGACTACAAACAGTAGATGGCTTCACTTCATAAAGTTAAACGAGATAAACTTATAAATCATTCTATGTGGTTAAATTTAGGGACACTGAATTTTCTGGCACTTTGTCACAGTTTTCTTTGGAGTTACTTCGTTTTTATCAGCTGGTGAACAGGGTAAGACAAACCTTCGCTTTGAGCCTCCTTAATGCTGGTTTAACAGAAGCCTTTACACCTGTTGGTACATTTCCAATAAACACGTGGGAAGAGCATTCTTGTCCCACCTCAGTTCCTAACTCGAGCATTTTTATTGTTGTTTTATTTACTTACAGTTCCCTTGTCCCTTTTTTTGCAGCCAATGTCTACTGATGAAAAAGTCTATTACAGGAAAACTAATGAGCATTATACAGAGTCTACATTCAAGTATAGAGCAGAAAGAGAAATTTCCACCAAAAACAAGTAGATGATTAACGGAAGACATAATTAAATACATGATAATAAATATTCTAGGGCCTGATAATTAGATGAATATGACCAAGATAAGGAACAAATAACTTCAATCCACATTCAGTTCAGTGTTTTAAAAAGCTGTAATATCTGGAAAGAAATGCAAATAATATTTCAAATTAACTAATAAAGCAAAAATATAAATTATTCACCCTGAAAATTGAGGGTGTATAAGGTTAACCCTAAGTAAGAAGAATGTCATTTCATCTACCAGTCACCACCTTAAGAGTATTGGTCTGATCATGTATTTCTTTTTGCATCGAGATGCTATTTAATATATAATCAAAAACTTCCACTTGTATGGTACATGACAGTGTTGATGTTTTAAAAATCTCATTTGATCTTTACTAACACCAGGTAGGAGATATAGAGTATTTATCCTTCTCAAACTTTTAAATAAGAAAACAGGCTCAGAACAGCCAAGTGATTTGCCCAAAGGCACTGCAACCAGCCTGTGATGGCGGTGTGCCACCCATGCCAGCTGGCCCGAGGGAAGGTTCTATTGCTCTTTGGCCATGTGGCTGCAGTTCTTTTCCATTTGGTTCATTTCAGGTGGAATGCTGATGTGCCTGGGGGAAATAATCTACTCTATTCAAAGGTTATTTCTTTTACATTTATTAATTTTTAAGAAACCAAGAGTAATGCCTGAGTTTATTTAACAACAGAACCATTGCACATTTTGGTGCAAAACAAAATATCAACCTACCCTTTTACGGAGTTTCTCTGCAGCATCGAGTTCAGCCTTAATAGTCTTATCAAATTTGTTTAAAAGTTTAGGCTTCTTTTTCTTAACTGAAAGAAAAAAGAGGTTTTTATTTTTAATTTTTCTTGTCTAGAAATAGATTAAACATAGTGATTTACAAGTAATGAGAAACTTGGTGTTGGTCTGCAACATATGGCTGCAGGAGAAAGCACACAGCAGGCTCACCTTCTCTTTCCTCCCCTGGACAGTTGGACAAAGTAGGTAACTGCTAAGGAAGACACGGAACCTCAAAGGTATTCTTTCAAGGCTGGATGGATACTGCTATCCTGAAACTCCCAGAGACACTAGCTAGTTTCTGGAATGAAAATGGTAGGTGTGATTTCTAAATTATCATGATCAACTTCTTAACTAAAAGCCCAAGAGACTACTTTGAATATGTCCACAACATTTTCTGATATAGATAAAGATGAAAGTGAAAAGCTCCTCTCAAGAGCATCAAGAAAAGCAGAATTTCTTAGTTTAGCATTCGTGACCTTTCCTGTACATCATGGACAGATCACTCCAGCTATATTCCATACTTCAGCCAAACTAGACTGCTCCATGTTCTCCAAATAAGCTTTTTGCCATTCTTATGTTACCTTATGTAAATAAAATGGCCTGTTCCTTATCTTTGTCAGTCAAAAAAATGCCCATCCTTCAACAACAGGCTCAAAACCACACTTTTTTTTTTTTTATTTCAGCATATTATGGGGCTACAGATGTTTAGGTTACATATGTTGCCCTTTTCCCCCCTCCCTGCCAAGTCTGAGTTTCAAGCGTGTCCATCTCTTGGATGGTGCGCATTGCACTCTTTGTATATGCATATACCCGTCCCCTCCTCCCCCTCCCCCTCCCCCTGCCCGATATCCAATAGATGTTATTCTTATATGTGCACTTATGTGTTGATCAGTTAATACCAATTTGATTGTGAGTACATGAAAACCACACTTCTTATTAAGTTGCTCCTGAAATCACTCACACTCTTCTCTCCGCTCTCCCTTTCTCTCTGTCTCTTTAATTCCACAGCATCCTGTACATCTCTCTTTTGTGGTCCTTCCCCCATGTGACTTTTATTATAATCCTTTGTGTACTTATCTTAGTCCTTTTCCAAACCATAAACTCCTGCAGGGTGGCACCATGTCCCAAATGCAGACTGAATACGTTCATGCTGGCTTAGCAAATAGGTTTTGGCTCTGCACACGACCCTGGCATCCAGGGAATGGGAGGAGCCCTCCTCCTGGAAGGAAGTCACACCCAGCAGGTGAGAGGGTGGGTCCTGCTGGTGCATACCTGGCAACGCCTGTGGAGTGGGTGGATGTGGGAGCTCAGAGTGACAAGGACAGAAACTTGAAGGGTGAGCAGAATGTTCCAGATAGAGAAGGGGACTGGCGGTGGGGAGTGGGTGAAGTGGGAGGGACAGAGAGAAATAAGAGAATGTCCTCAATTTCCTGATACTAACTCTACAAACATAATAGCATCTGCTCTATCCTGTCACAAAGGAAGAAGGGCTCTTCTTCCTAAGGTCAGCTTCCCACCACACACACACACCCCGCTCCGCACCATACTTTGTCTTCTGAAAGTCTCCTCACTCTCCGGCTCCCTCCTGGGCCCCCATCAGCATATAATAATTCTGACGTCACTGCCATCTCAAAGCAAACCAACCAACCAAGACACAGCTCAGCCTGCCTGCGGCTTGCCGTCCTCTCTGCCCTCCCGTCGCAGCGCAGCCTCCTCACTACCGCCCCCCTCAGCGCTCTGGTGTCCTCACCCACCTCGGCCTCCTCACCCATGGCAGGGGCAAGAGTGACTCTCCCAGAGGAGGGAGGGCTCCGTGATGCAGTGTGGGATGGCAAGAGTCGTAGTCCCAGCTCTGTCACGTCCGAGCTCTGTGATGTAAGCTGAGCTGGGACTAAACTCTTCTGAATCTCACTTTCCTCCTCTCTAAAGTGGGGCTAGTGTTTCTGAGAATTAAACTGATGTTGTGTGTGACGCGTTAGCACAGTGTCTGGTGTACGGGGTACATGCTCAGTACCTGAGAGCTAATCGCATCTACGGCCTTCTCTGCAAATCTACCAGTTCCTTTTTCTGCCTATTTTCCTGACTCCTCTGCAGCCCCTCACACTGTTGACTCCTTCCTCCTCCTTCCTAAAATGATCCTTTGCCTGACTTTCGTGTTTCCCTTGCTCCTAGTTTTCCTCCTCACTCTCCGGCCTCTTCACTTTCTCTTCGTCTCCTCTGTGGCTCCTTCACTCCGCCGATTCTTGGATGTTACATTCTTCAGGATCAGCCTTCACCGCCCCCCAACGCGGGACCCTAACTACTTCATTCTCAAACTGAGTTACAAATAACTAGTCCATTTTCTTTTGCATTACGAAAATCGTAAATCCAAGTGCTTATTGACACAGATGCCTTAAACTTGGTAGATGAGCCATAGAATTTGCTATTCCTCACACATCCATTCTTTCTTGTATTTACCTTATTTCACAGAATGGTGCCCTGGCTCCCAGGTGTCCAAATATGAAACTGGTTAGGGAATGGAAGTAAAATAAGGGCAAAGGAGGAACACGTGGAATCACCCGGAGGAAGACCGAATAGAATTGCTATTGTCTTTTTAACACTCACTCCACGCCAGTCCGCAGGCCTGGCATTGTAAGATACTGCCTTTTATCCTCTTGACCTCCTGAACATGGTCTTATTGGTGGTCACAGATAAGATCACTCAAATTCCCTCCCCTTTCCCACATGGGAGGAAGGAAACACTTACTTCTTGGTTTCCAAGAAGAGGGAAATCTCTTTTTTCCTAACAACCTTAGTCTCCTGCCTCTCCCTGCAGGGCAGGTGATGTGACTTATCCATCCTGGGAAGGAACACACTGTGTAGCTGGGTCTCACCTCTTTGCTGCCTCCCAAAAGCTTGCGTACCAAGCCGACCTGATCACACCCACAGGGAGAGGTGCCCACGTGGAAGAACGAGGGCTGTCCCATGCCGCAGGGAGTGGGCAAGTGTGTCCAATTCTGGGGTTCAATATTAAGAAATCTGTTATTCCTGATTCTCTAAGCTCCATCCTTCAGTTCAGCTCTCATCAGTAATAAAGCTCACACTCTGATCACCTTTTATTTCAGCACTTATGCATTTGTAAAAAACAGCTATGATCTTCTATTTTGTTTATTCCACTCTCCTCTTCTCCCTGAACCTCAGTCCCTCTATTGTTGAAAAATCTGAGTGTCCAAAGCAGAGACTGAAAACATACTGAATAATGGGCCTTTTCAACTGTATGTCATTATATGTTACCATATATGCTGATTCGGAAAATCAATCGACGCTTGACTGTGATGTGGATTTACAGCGGTGGGAGTTTGTGTATTGTCATCTCAGCACAGATTTATAACTCCCAATTGCCCATTTTGCTTTTCTGGAAATGTCTTTCAACAGAATGACAGGGGGACCTCCAGAAAAGCCAGGCATGCCCCTGCGTAGCAGGTTTTGCTGTGGGCATCGTTGGTTCTCCTCAATGTGTCTCCTGTGATATAAAGTTAACATGAGATTTATTTACAAGAAAAAATAATGGCAGTTTGGGATATCCAAGAAGTCAACAGCAAAATAATATGCTTGCTAATGAACAATACTGTAAGTATCTTAGTGTCATAATATTTTAATGGCACAAAAATAGCCATTTTTAAAATATTAAAACTCTCATAGCCCGTGTTATCAAGAAATTACTTTGTCCCATGTTTTCATATATCTTCATATTTAATAGTTTCTAACTATTGCTCCTCACTTTGAAATTCAAATTTGATTCTATCATGACTATTTTTGTTTTTAAAAGTATAAAAAGCCTGAGGCAATTTTCCCAATTGTAAAAACAGAGACACATCTCTTCTTCCTTCCTCCGTGTTGTGGGGAGGCATACAGTCGGGCTGTAGAAATGAGTCCTCGTTCTGGCTGGCGAGGGGATCCCCGTGAACTCTCTCAAGCTCTCTGGCCTCGGTTTCCTCATCTACAAATGGTTGAATCAGGCTGGTTCTCTTAAAGTCTCTTTGAACTCAAAAATCCTACACTTCTAATTTTCAGTTGATTTAAATCATGTTAATAGTGTTTTGAAGTAGACCTATAAGGTACTGGAAAGGATTATTAACTTTGCTACACTTGGATTTTTCAAAATGGTTTAGGAGGAAGTTGTCTGTTCCATATATACATTAAAGTTTTTTTTTTAAATTACTGCCATTACAAGTGTTTTACACTTTTCCAAAGCACAAAGAAGGAAAGAAAAGGGATCATTTGCTTTTCAAAGCCTCACTTCCCTTGCCATGCCATGGTTGAAATATTAAGAGCAAATAAAATGGAAAAGAAGGAAAATAAAAGAAGGCAAGAGAAAAGCACTAATGATGCATATTCAGAGTGTATAAAAATTAATGTTTAATCCTTTTCATTTCCACTTAGTTTGTGGAAGAAGTTTTCATACTATGGTACATGGGAGAAGTTAATCATTAACAAAAACAGACACAAACAGACACAGAATCTTCATACTACTTTACATCCTATGTTGGTTCCATTGAAGACAGTGAAGACAACAGCAATTTCTGCCACAGGTCCATTGCAAAGCATCAATTTCCCAACCAGTCTCACTGTCTCCAGTCTGTCCTCATGCTCTCCATTGTTCTGAGGATGGCTCTGAAACACAGTCTATCCACATCACCATATGGCTTAAAATACACCATAGATCTCAAGAATACACAAAATAAAAACTAAATTCGTCAGGATGACATCCTAGCAATCCTGCTCCTATTTACTTACTCAAGAGAAATGAAAACAAACATGAAATCATATACAAAGACTTGTACATTCACTGCACTGTTCATAATAGCCCCGAAGTAGAGAAAATGCAAAGTCCATCAACTGACAAATGGATCAACCACCAGTGGCCCATCCGCACAATGGAACATCACTCAGCAATAGCACTCATACATGCAACAGCATGGGCGAATTTTAAGCGGATTAAGTTAAGTGAAAGGGGCATAATTCAAAAGTCTACTGACTGACTGATTCCATTT